AGAGAGAGAGAAGACAGAGCACGAGTGGGGGAAGGGCAGAGAGAGGGGGAGGCACGGAATCTGAGGCAGGCTCCGGGCTCTGAGCTGTCAGCACAGAGCCCGACGCGGGCCTCGAGCCCATGAACCGCGAGATCATGACCTGAGCCGAAGTCAGACGCTTGACCCTCTGAGCCACCCCTAGGACTGTCTTGATGACACTCATCGGGTCATTCTCTGCACAGCCACTGGGCTGTGCCACCAAGTGGCCACACCGTGTATCCAGGAAGCCCTCCCTGTCTGACAGCTGGTTCAGGGAAGAAAACACGGAGAGACCCTCGCTCTACAACCCTATGACTCAGGGGACAGAAAGACAGGCCCTGAGGGGCGCCTGGCTGGCTCAGTCGGTTGAGCGTCCAACTCTTGATTTCGGCTCAGGTCATGATCTCACAGTTTCGTGGGTTCGAGTCTCACGTTGGGCTCCGCGCTAACAACACGGAGCCTGCTTGGGATTCTCTCTTTCTCTGCCCCTCCCCCGCTCGTGCTGTCCCTCTCCCTCTCTCTCAAAATAAATAAATATAAATAAATATAAAGATACGCCTGCGTATTCTATGCCTCTATACAGGGCTTCCGTACAGGGAGACCTCAGAACTACTGTTTCTTCGTGTGAGCTCAAATCTCCTGGCCTGGGTTCAGGTCTGGAACATGGGAGCCAGCTAAGCCATCACGGCTGCGCATGTGATGGACAGAGTAGAGTAGGTGGGACAAAGGAAAAGCTCATCCTGATGACATTAGCCGAGCACGGAAGCAGGGAGGCTCACTCAGGATCCTCTGTGCCCCGGAGACTCGAGCAAGGAAACTCAAAACAGAAAGGCCTTCCTCCTGCAGCTTCACAGTGGAGACGTGCAAATACAACACTCACCAACGTTCATTCACAGAGCGCATTCTCCATGCCAGCCCCACTTACGAGGTGGCCAGATACAACAGATAATATCATCATGCTCACTGTACAGACAGGGAAATCAGGGCAGAGAGGGGTGATGGACATGGCCCGGGATACTACAGCTAGTGAGTGACAGGTCTGGGAGGCAACTCAGCCTAAACCCAAAACCTGTTCTCTCCTTTTATTATTATTTTTTTGGCAGGGAGGGAAGGGAGGTGCGGCTGGGTGGCTCAGTCGGTCAAGCGTTCGACTTCGGCTCAGGTCATGATCTCGTGATTCGTGGGCTCGAGCCCCGCGT